TGACTCTGAGGGTATCTCCTTTTACCAGGAAGGACCACTGACTAGATCAATAACAACACCTTAGCCCAAGTGATACAATCAGCAACACCATAGCAACAAGTACAGCTTAGAAAATTACATTTTGTTGTAGTTATTAATCTATCACCTTTAACCATGTAAATTAAATCAAAATCATGATTTTCAAAACCCAACATATGATTATAGTGAATAAACTCCTCAATATAACAACTTTACCCTTCCGGATGGGGAGTTAGAAGGAGTTGGGCAGGGAGGAATAGCTAAGTAGAAGGATAGGGAAAGGTTAGCTATGAGGCTAGAGGACACAGTCGAGAGAAGTAAAAAGAGAATAATAGAAAAATAAAGAAGAAATCCAAATGAGGGCCAGAACAGGAACAAAAAGGGAGATGAACAAAGTGGGATAGCAAGAGAGTGAGTGTAAGAGAGAAAAAGGAAAGAAAAAAAGGAGAGGAAAAACATAAATTTGCAGAGAGTAGGAAAGAAAATTAAAGAGGAGAGGAGGAAAAAAACCCAAACAAACCAATAATACTAATTTTGGAAATAAAAACACAAAAATGAAAATGAAGGGCCTCCTTTAAGGTGTGTCTCTGCTGTCACAGTAGACAATGTGGGTAGCAGTGTGCAGATATAAATCAATGAGTCTCAGCAAGCCAGTCGCAGACCGGTGAGATTCAGGCAGATTTCTGGCTGCAAGTCCCAAGTTGAGCTCCCTGTCCTACAGCAGGGTTGAACTCTGCAAGGTTCTATTGCAGGTTCCAGGTGCCCTTCCCCTGAAGATAGTCCTGGTTCCAATGGGAGGTGATGATCCCTCCAACTTACCCAGTACGGTGGTCTGGTGGTCCAGTGTCCCCTGTGTCTTTGTAGTGTGGAACCAGGTGGCAGTACAGCCAAGAGGCCAGAGGAGCGGGAGGGGGTTCCTGCAGGCATCTGCACTGCTAAGTAGATCGCTGCTGGGGGCGTGGGCTGGATGGGGCGGGTTCCCTGTGACCAGGGACCCCTCTGCGGCATCCGGGGATGTGCCTGACTGGCGCAGGCTTGATCAGGCAGTTCCTTTCTTGACAGACCTGCCTTAAACCACTCAAGTGTGTATCCTCCAACCTAAGACCATTCCTTGTCTTCTTCCTGCTGAGTCATAAAGAAGACTCTGTCACAGTGGAATTCTCCTCTCTATGGAAACTTGTGTCATGTGATTAACAAGCTTTTTGTGTTCTTAGGAGCTGCTGGGGTTACACTGGAGGCAACTGAGCCTGGAGAGATCCAGGGAACTTTCCATATCTCTCAGGAATGTGAAGGCAGGGACAAGACTAGAAACTTCCCTTCCCTGAAGCAGGCTCTCTCCTGTCAGTGTGAGCAGATTGGGAGTGGCTATGGGAGCCAGAGTGGTGGCAAGTTTGTGTCTCAGTTCCCTGCGTGTCTGTGTCACTGAGCTTTATCTGTGCTGTTCCACACCTGCAAGCAATAGCTTCATCATTGTCCTGGGTCCCGCTGATGATGGTCATCATGGCTGTATTCCCAGATTTGGAGCCAGAGAATCAGAGATCCTGAGGGCCTGGTGTCATCATAGGAAATGACCAGCAGAGGGGCCTGGCCTGGCTTCCACTGGTACTGTTGTACAGTTTTGCTTCCAATGCCATTTCCCCAACAGGTCATCCTGGCTGTCTGTCCCAGGGTCACCAACACTGAGGATGGCTGCCTCAGCACATATGAGACTACAGAGCCTGCAAGGAGAGAGAAGGAGAGGTGGGACTGGCAATGGAAGACCTTCCAGGCCTTCACCCCTTTGTGGCCTGGAGCACATCTGGGATTCTTGGGGTCCCTTGGGTTCCCCCTCCCTAAATCCCAGCCCCAGTGGCCCATAGCCCTGGCTAGAGGATGGAACATTTGAGTCCAGGAGCAATCCTGCCCTTCTTTCCTGGCATCTGCAGCCCCAAAAGCTCACATAGGCAGGGAGCACAGTGTGGTGGTATCAGCTCAACAGCCTCCATCCTGCAACAAGTTTCCAAGCATCCTGCCCATACAGGCAGGGCAAGGCAGTTCCCAGAGCCCTGGGGTACTGCCTGTGCCATGAGCAAGGAGGCTGAGGTGGAGGGGCACCCAGGTCATGTTGGAGGTGTCCCTGAAGCAGCTTCTTGAGCCCCAGGCAGCACTAGCTTCCTCCCAGCCCTCTTTTATCTCCTTACTGGAGAGAGCTGCCTGTTATGTAAATCAGCTTGAGCTCAGGGCTATTTCTGGGTGAACTTCGTGGTTTCCAGAGCTGGGCTCAGCAGCAGGGACGAAGAGAGGGGAAGGGAGAAGCCTAGCAGACCCAGCCTGATTCCATGAGGTGCTTCCTCACCTGCTGGTCCCAAAGTCTGGGTGATATCCCTACTCCAGGATGCATGTTAGTCTCCCTTCTGGGCTTGCCTGGCCATGCGGAGCTCAGAGGTGAGTTTGACTGCAGTATGTAAACTACTCTACAGGTGACAGTAAGAGACTCAGCCAAGTTTGTGATCTTGCCCCAGATTTCTGCTCTTGGGCTGCACTGCAGGAATAAAATCTTCCCCAGCTAAGTATAAATGAAACATTTAAAGATCCAGTAAGGTGCTATAACTGTCTTTCCTTGGTTTGAGCTCCACATGCACAACATAGGGGGGCTGTGTCTCATATAGCCTGTAGCTCTTGGCAGGTTCTACACTTCATGCTCAAATACAGAGTAAAAGCTGCAGAGCTTCAGCACACGTGGTGGTCTAGGCCCACTGGTGGCAAACCTATGGGATGCTTGTTATTTGTTTTTCTTGTAAGACAAAAAATGTTAATGTATGAGTTGTTTTTTTCTAAACTTAAATCTCAGAATTCAGGTTTAATTTTAGTGCTGGCACTTTGTGATAACTAAGTGGGTTTTGGGTTGGAGTTTGGCACACCATGCCTAAAAGGTTCATCATCACCGGTCTAGAGGAAAATGAAGCACCTGGACCTCTGCCAGAGTAACAGACAAATTGTACAAAGGCCAGATTGGAGAGACACACAGACCAAAGAATATTTACATCAATGTGGAGAAGATACAGTTGAAAAATGCCAGCTTTTTCTCCAGGTCACATGCCAAGGTTCCTAACCCTCTCCTACATGTATAACCACCCTGTAGAGGTGAGATCTGGGGGTTGAAAAGTGACTGACAGAGACCAAGTTTAGTGGGATGGGAATGAATTGGGGAAGGAAGGGGAGAGTGGGTAGGTAGGAAGAATTTCCTTTGCATGTAGCAGACAACAGGGCAAATTGTACGAGGCTGATCTGAGAGATAGACATTAAAGAATTTGTATATAAGTGTCAAGGACAATGCTGTAGAAAAATGACACCTTTCTCCAGGTCTCCGTCATTAACTCACCTGCATGTTAGAATTCCCTCAGGTTAGAAATCCATCTCTTCCCCAGGTGACTCTCTGCTGGCCCCTGGTGGCCACTTCACACTGCTGGAGGCCCCAGGGGTATCGATGACCCAAGTGTAGATTAAGAATTTGCTGCTCAGTTCCATCATTCCTTGATTCCTGGCCTACTGTCCATAAAGTGAGGAATTTCTCTTCCTCTTTTGGCTTCTGCCTGCCTCATGATTAGGCAGGAGGGGCTCTTGTTACATAAGAAAGTAGTCATCTGGAGGAAAGGTCAGGGCTCACCTGAGGTGTCTCTAAACCTTTCTGTAAGGCTATTGGTGTGCATGGGTATGGCCTTGGGGGAGCTTTGTGCTGAGTGACTCGGACTCAGAGGCTGAGTCCCCATGGTGATGAATGCAGGTGATACAAGCGCATGTTGCACAGTGGTAGCTTTTAGTGGTGGCACTAAAGACACACAAAAGAGACCACTCACCACAAATATTTACTCAGATCACTGCAGTCTGAGCCCCATTCCATCCTGTGAATACAGCATGAACTCAGCAGGCTTTCCTCTTGTGGGTGAGGCCATGGCATAGTTTGCAGTCCCAGCAGACTGTCCCAACAGCTTGTACCTGCGCATTTTCTTATCTGTTTATTATAAGCCAGACATGTTTCCCAGGTCCCAGACAGCCAGGACCCAGTGAAAGTCCATGGGTGGAACACTCTTGTCTGCTGCATTTCTTCTAAGGGAACTTTTGCTCTTGAGGAGGAAAGGAACATATTGGTTTTTGTATCATTTTCCATCTTGAATATGATGTCATGTTTGGAACTGCACAGGCATCTTGATGCCTTAAATCAACAAAAAAGAAAGGCTAAGATGATAAAGATGGTGAAACAGATACTGAGGAAGTTCCCATGTCTTGCATGGAATTGTTAAATACAAGAAGGAGTAAAATTATCCTCCCCATCTGTTCATGTCTCTGTTTTTTGTTTTTTTCATGCAAATGTTCTTGGAATAAAAATAAATTCTTAAACCATTAAGAAAATAACAAACATATATGGATCAATTAAGCAAAATAATGTTAGTGAAAGAACCATGAAATGGATAGGGACATGGAGATAATTAGTAGAATGATGAGGCAGAGAGTGACAGGCAAGTCAGGTTATAACCTGAGGCTGGGGCAGCTCACTGCAAAGGTGTCCCTGGAACTATCTTTGCATTGGAGGAGAAAGTTGACATAGCACTTGTGTGGGGAGAGCTAAGTCTGTATGTCCTTAGGGAAGAGGGTGTGTGAGGATGGGAACCTGAACCCCTGGAAATCAGGTTCAAGTCCAAAGTCAGACTTTCTCCTATGTGAAGTATTCTCACGGTAGAAAAGATGTGCAGACAGGGATGGTGAGATTTTCCAGGTAATAAATTGGGTTCTTTGGCAGCCACTGAGCCTGCAGGATGGTGCTGTGGGGCAGGGGCAGATGAGACACAAGTGTGTTCAGCCCAGTCCCATAGCATTTCCTTTTGTTTACCAGGGAGTGAAGACAGGTATGTACCCATACCCACCAGGCAGCTAGAAACTTAAGCTACAGCCAGTGGTCCTGTCTGGCTCTCTAATCTCCTATGGGTGGTCTTTCACTGTTCCCCCAAAAGTGCTAGACCTTCCCTGACCTGGGATGACAGAATTTGGGGAGTACATTTCACAGGGAAGGAAAGGGACTGAGAGGGAGTGATAATCCCAAGGTCACTCAGGGAGAAAGAGATAAGATCAGGACCAGGGAGGTCCTGATCCATAATAATCACCTGCTTTGGGTACACTGGGAAGAGCCTAGGCTGAGCAGGAGAGTCGGAAAATCATTAGCTCAAAATTTGGGTCAGGGAGCAGACAGCTCCTCTCTTTTGGTTTGAACTGGTGTCTGAAGGCGGCGCTGATGCACCTTACCTGGGTTTGATGGGCTCCTGGGAAGAAAGCTGGCTGAGTGTGCCATTTGGTGCTGATCAGAATTCCCAAGGGCAAAATAGTCTAGATTAGAAGCAACTAGAGCAGGGACATCATGAACTTTCTACCCTAGAAAGAAGAATCATTGGATTAGCACTTAGGTCTTATGGATCTGGGCCATAAAGTATTGTCTATTAACAGCTTGTGGTTTATTAGCATGAAATGTAAATTACACACCTAAAGATCTAATTGTAATTGTCAGTTGATTGTTATTTAATTTTCCTGTGTGGAAGATGCAGGAACCAAGCTTTCTAGAGGACCCCCCCCCCGTCCCGCCCCGCCGCGTTAACCAGTGTCTGTAGGACAGGGATTGAAGACAAGATCTTGAATTAAAAAAATGCCACAAATTCTGTGAGAGAACCATGTTTCTAGTGGATATCTGCACTCTTGTCCTGTAGCTTGAGCTGCAGGAGAGAGCAGCAGAGTAAGTGGAGGCCAAGGACATGGTATTTGCTTAGAGGGCAGGTGAGAGTGAGAGTCAATACTGGGCAAGGAGGTTTCTCTCCCGCACAACCATGTGTCTGGGTCACTGTGAGTCACTGAAAGCTACTCCCGCTGCCACCAGTAGTCAGCCTTGTCTGTGGTCCATGCCCTGTGGATGGCCAGGGTGCTCTTGTTTCCCAAGCTAGAACCAAAATATTGGTTAAGAATCCCTGAAAGCCTGTTGCTGTCATCATAGATGATCAGTACAGGGACCTGGTTTGGCTTCTGTTGGTACCAAGGTATATAGTTGTCACTGGTTTATCTTCAAAGCGTGTGACATGACTATATTGGAGCTACTGATACTATGGATGACTGTGGCAACTTGTAGGAGTCCACAGAGGTTGCAAGGAAAGAAAAAGAGAGGTGGAATTGACAATAAAGGCACATTCCAGGAACTTCCCTCAACTCTAGCCTAGATGAGCTCTAGGAATCCTCTGTCTCTAAAGGGGGTCCTCCCATCAATCTTAGCCTCAATGGCCCATGAGCCTGGCTGGAGGATGGTGCCTCTGAACGCATGAGCAAATCTAACCCTTCTTGCTGGCAGCTGCAGGCTCTTAGGCTCACTCAAGTTAGCCAGTACAGCATAAGGACTTCAGCCCCATAGCTCCAATTCTGTAGCAGGTTTCTGAGCATCCTGCTAAGCTCAGACAAGGCTCTGTTAAGCTCAGAATCAGGGCCAGGCTCATCCCAGAGCACTGGGCTGGGTGAGTAGGTGGGGGTCCTGGGGCAGAACCTTTGCAGTGAGAGAAGAGACCAAGGACTAGAGCATTCAGGCCATGGTGGAGGTGCTCCTGAAGCCCAGGGTGGGCTGGCTTTCTTCTAGGCCTCTTTCCCCCTTGATGGAAAGAGCTGCCCATTATGCAAATCAGCCTGAACTCAGAGCTGCAGCTGGAGGAGTTTTGTGGTTTCCAGAGAAGGCCTCAGTCTTCAGAACACAGAGAGGCGAGGAGCAGCCCTGCAGACCTAGGAGTTCTCCTTCATTCATTGGTCCCATAGTTAAGGCCATTGCTCACAGATGACTATGTCCTCGGAAAGACCTGGAAATCATTCTTTTCAGCAAATGGTTGAAGCCCATGCAGGTGAGAGGACATCCTACATCCCTGAAGGGCTCTGTGGCCCAGTGTAGAGGGCAAGAGGCTCTAACAGAAATGGGCGTTTGATAGTAATAGGAAGGACAACATTCCAAAATGACAGGCTATGTGAATACATGTGGCCATCAGAAGTAGCATGGGTACATTTGTAAAGAACAACGACTGACTGTCCTGATGTCTGACCTGGCTGGGGCAGCGGGGAGGGTTTAGCATCCTTGGATCTAGTGGAGAGGAAGTCAGCATGGATTCTGTTGATTCTTTCATCATAAATATTGAAGGGAGTTTGAAGGTAGCTCTCCCAATACCATCTCAAACAATTACTAGAACCAAGCCAAATTTCTTAATTAGAATCTACGGCAAGAAGACCAATAGAGAATTTTCCCAGAACAATAGAGCAATATAAATATCAAGATCAGTGAATTATGGCTGTTGACTGTGTTTGCAAAAGTTAAACCCACTCCTATAAGTTTGTCAGTGGTGCTTTTCACCTACAAGGACAGAGTGTGGTGTTTGCAACACAGACCATATGTGTAGGAAATACTAAGCCATTACCTAAGTAGACCTTTATACAGAGGACAAATTCTGAGTCTTCCCCTATCTCTACCCTACACAGATTTATAAAATAATTACATCTTAGGGTGGGAATGGCATAGTCTCTTGCCACCTTTAAATATCTAAGGAACTTGTGGTTCAGGTTAATTTTATACCATGTAATTTATGGGTCTGCCCCCATAACATTTGGATGAATCCTGGAAGGGAGAAATAGATCCATAATCCAGACATGAAGTCATCTCATTGGCCACTTCTGTACCAGTGGTGGAATGTTCTACA